AAAAAAAAAAAAAAATACATTTGATAAAATTCAATCAAAGTTGTTGGGAATGTGGCTCAAGTATTAGAATACTTGCTAGTAAGCAGAAGGTCCTTAGTTCAAATCTCTGTTTTATCAAAATGTAGTTGTTAAGGCAAACAATGAAAACTATAATGACAGATATTCCAATCTGCAAATTTTTTTCTTGAATTTTTCCCCAGGCCAGCCTGGATTGTGATCCTCTTATTCATACTGCCAACCTAGCTACAATGACAGGCACATGTCACCATGCCCAGGTTACTGGTTGAGATGGTCTTGTTAACTTTTTTTCATACTAGCCTCAAACTGCAATCTATCTACTCAGCTGTGCCTGGATTAATCTGCAGACTTCTGTTTCTTCCTTTCCTCTTTCCTTCCTCTACCTATAGTAACACATGTCTATCATTTATTTGGACAGTTCTAGGTTTTGAATTCAGGTCCTTAACACCTGCTAGTCAAGCACTTTGCCAATTGAAACATATCCCCAGCACTCTAATCTTCAAAGTCTTGAAAGAAATTTTGCTCTCAGTTTTTTTTAGTTCATATGATTCCATACAGCCTTTTTGTTTCAATAGGATCAGGCAGCTAGAGATATGAAGAGGTTGGAAGACAAGGACAAGGAAAGGAAAAATGTCAAGTAAGTAATTTTCTTCTTCAGAAAAGTTACCTGAAAATTGCTAAAGTATTGCAAAGACTATGTCACCAGTGTTTATAGGAAAAAAAAATCAAAGTATATAAAAATGTCTTAAAGATTTCCCTTTATCTTGATTATCTGTGTAGGTATATAGATGGCAGAAGTCTATATTTGCAATAATTAAAAGGCATATTCTATTTGGTAGAATAATAATTGGTCTTCAATTATAAACAATTGTTTGGGAAACAAAATGAGTTACAAATGTGGGTTGGGGAGAAAATTTATTAAAGTTTGAGTTCATTGTCCTATTTTTCATCCTATGATTAAAATAAAATAGATTAATATCTGTATGATTGTTTATGAGAAATAATGGTGATTATATAATATAAACTGTATTATTAGCAATAAAACTTTGTTTCATTTAAAGAATGACAACAAGCTTTACTAACTATAGGCAGAACTTTATTGCTTTATTTCTGGGAAAGACAAGCCCTTTTCTGAGCTAAATATATATAATATTTATGTTTTGTTTTGTTTTTTCTTTTCTTTTTGATCGTGGGGCTTGAACTCTGGGCCAGGGCACTGTCCCTCAGCTCTTCAGCTCAAGGCTAGCACTCTACCTCTTGACCCACAGTGCCACTTCCAGTTTTCTGGGTGGTTTATTAGAGATAAGAGTCTCATGGACCTTCCTGCCTGGGCTGGCTTTGAACCGCGATCCTCAGATCTCAGCCTCCTGAGTAGCTAGGATTATAGACGTGAGCCACTGGTGCCCAGCTTGAGCTGAATATATTTTTAAAACTTTTCCTGACAGGCCTGGTTAGCTTTTTTCTCCCTCTGCTTGGCAGAATGAGTGCTTCAGGTTCTTCCCAAGATTCCTGTGTCATATGAAGTATCAACTTACAAACATATGCTTGTTGTATATGGGATCCTTCTTCCAGCTTCACTACATGGGTGGTGTTGCTGATGGCCTTAGAAATTGCATTTGTTCTGAGTCAGGTGGAAAGTGTTTGGAAAGAGATGATTATAGGAGCTAAACAAGAAAATTTTGAGGAATGCAGAAGGTGACAGTATTTTTCTTCTGTGTAAACTGCTTAGGAGTCTTACTTCCAGACTCTGAAAGGTGAAAATATAATTTTCCTTTCTATCTCCCCCTTCCCTCCCCTAGGCAGCTGATTTTGTCTGAATGCAATTACTCTAGAGATAGAAACTTTGGGAAATAATAAGAACATTGTATACCAAATGCGGGGTATTTTTTTTTTCTCTTTAACAATACAACTGTGTTGTCTATCTTACCTTTATGAAGCAAGTTTTTACTCTTTATACTGATGATAGTTACTAATGTTTATATAGTTACCATATCATCCCATTAAAAAAAATGTGAAGTGTAGGTCATAGGGTAATCACACATATATGATGAGTATATAGTTTACAGTGTGCTTATTTGCTGCTTTGTTATTGTTAGTGTTGAGAGTTCCTGTCCTGTATGGAATTCAACACTAATCTTCTGTAAGTATGGAGCTGGGTATGTGGAACATTTGCAGGGAAGTTTGTTTCTCCGCTTGTTTTTCCAGGGGTATTCGAGATGACATTGAAGAGGAAGATGACCAAGTGAGTTCCTATGCAGTATTTCTATCTTTTATTTTTACCCCACAAAGTCTAAACTAGGGACAAGGTAGAGTTTGTCTTTACTAAAATGGCCATTATTGACATTCATCAGGGAATGTCCTTTTTACCTGTGAGACCAATTGGTAATATTTTAAAGATTGATGTGGCTTCCTCTCCATGTTAAAAATAGAACCTTTGATCATCTGACATCAAAGCAAATACAGCTTTATTCCGCTTACTTTTTAAAATCCAAAAGTGTCTATTCTGATAAATCTGTTGGTAGCCTCTAGCAGCATCTAAGTGCTACCTCTTTGTAAGGGCTCTGTTTGTTATTCTTGTATTTCATGGTGGAATGTTAATGACTGGTAGTTAAAATTTCCTTTTGCCATTGTTCACTTGTGGGATGGTAAGAGTCAGAGTGAGCAGTGTAGCCCTTTCAAGGTTTGTGACTTAATCACTGTCAGCTTCCAAACTTGGACTGGTAAAGCCAAAGTATGTTTTCTGTAACCCCCAACCCACCCAGAAAAACTGTGGAGCAGACAGCTTTGTAAATTATTTACCAAACAAGTTAAATCATTGTGTTGTAGTACTAACTGCCTTGCTCATTTCTTCTGAGTACCATTATGGTAAAAGGAGTCTTCACTAGTGAAAGTCTTGTCTTGGTAGGTATTTATTTAAACTTATAAGGTCTTCTGGTATACTATGTGCACTAATTACAAGAAGAAAAATGTTCTTAGCTCGGCTTGGGAGTGAATGCATCCTTGTGCTTTCCTGCAGGAAGCTTACTTTCGGTACATGGCAGAAAACCCAACTGCTGGTGTGGTTCAAGAAGAGGAAGAAGACAATCTGGAATATGATAGTGATGGAAATCCAATTGCACCTTCCAAAAAAATTATCGATCCTCTTCCTCCCATTGATCATTCAGAGGTATGGTGTTTCTTGCTGAATTTGAGTCTTGTTTCCCTGAGTTTAATGTTTAAGTTTTCCCAATAGCTGAGTGCTTTTTCTACATATGTAAACTATAGAAAGTAGAGGGTTTTGTTGTGTGTTTCCATACATACATACATTCATAATGTACTTTGATCATATTCACTCCCTCTCTTACTCTTCCTTATTTGCCCTTCCTCAAGTATTCTTACGCCTCAGCCTTCTAGATTCTAGAATTATAACAGTTGTGCACCACCATGTCCAGCTCACCAAAGTATCTTTGAATGCATCTAAGATGAAAATTTTGTTCATCTGTCCTTAAATCCTTCCTAAAAAGTAAGTTTACCCAGGCAAGGTGGCTCAGGCCTGTAATTCAAAGTACTCTGGTTGAGGAGGCAAAAATCTGTAGGATTGAGATTCCAGGGCAGACATTAGAGAGACCCCCCATCTTAAGAAATAAGACAGATGTAGGGACTGGGAAGTTGGCTCAGTGGTAGAGCGCTCGCCTTGCATGCTTAAGGCTCTGGGTTCGATTCCTCAGCACCACATAAGCAGAAAAAAAAAGCCGGAAGTGGCGCTATGGCTCAAGTGGTAGAGCGCTAGCCTTGAGCTGAAGAGCTGAGGGACAGCGCCCAGGCCAAGAGTTCAGACCCACGACCGGACCCAAAAAAAAAAAGAAGAAGACAGATGTGATGGCATGGCCTGTTGTCTCAGCTAGGTAGAAGGCATAGGTAGGAGGGTCAGTCACAGTCTGAGGCTGGCCCCAGACAAAAAGCAAGATCTTACCTGAAGAAATTACTAAAGCAGTAAGATTGAGGCTATGGCTCAAACTTTTGAGGGATTGTGGGCAAGCAGGAGATCCTGAGGTTAAATCCAGTACCACCAAAAAATACTTCCTTTAATAGACATTTTCATGGTATTAGAAAGATGCATTTAACCAAATTTGTATGTGGTAATGGTTTTACTGTAAGCTGTGAAACAAGCAGCAGAAATGACCACCTCTCTCTTTAGAGTTAAAAATACTTTCTCATGGTCAGATGTGGTGGTACGTGGTTATAATCTCAGCACTTTTAAGAGGCTGAGGCCAGAGGATCAAGAGTTCAAGGCCAGATTAGGCTGCATTATCAACTGCTTATACAGTGTCTAAAACTGTTAGATTGGTTTTTTGTTTGTTTATTTTTGTTTTATTTTTGTTTTATGGAACAGTGTTTCACTGTGTAGCACCAGATTAACCTCTAGCCCAGAATCCTGCCTCAGCCTCCAAAGTGCAGTGATTACAGGTATATACCACCAGATCTGCTTAGTCCCTTTTTTAAAAAAAACAAAGTATAGAAATCTCCAGATGAGATATTGGAAATGTTTTTAAAATGCTAGTGAACCACTTAATCCAAAACATATTTAAATATTATTTGGTGGAATACCTTTTGTAGGATGTATGTCCTCTGAAGTCTTTGGCATTGCAGATATTCCCTAGTCTGCTTCAAGGTTGTTAAAATCTAACCTGTCCCTGAGGGTCTTATAGGAAGTTGGTTGGTGTTTAAGTTGAAAATAGGAAGAGGTTTAGGCTGTAATTTTGGGAAGAATGTCAAGAGTAAATGAATTTATTCTTTCTAGCAGAAAAGGTTTTATTTTGTAATATTTGTAAACATTTTGCATTAAAATCAAACTTACAGGATTGACTCTTGAATTCTAGACTAACTTTGAATAATTGGACCTGCAGATTGACTACCCACCATTTGAAAAAAATTTTTACAATGAACACGAGGAGATAACCAACCTCACTCCACAGCAGCTAATAGATCTTCGGCACAAGCTCAACCTACGGGTAAGAATCAATATGCAAGTGTTTGAGTATTATTAATGTTAGTCTAGGTTTATTTTTTATTGCTCTCCTAAACCTAATAGCACTGGATTTCTTTTCTAATGATCCCTGAGCTATCTTTGCTAGAGTAACAATCCCTGGGGCTTATGTGTCTTTATTTGATTGTTTTTTTAGTCTTCAGGTAAGATATTCTAGACTAGGATAGTTTTTGGTTTGTGTATTGTCAGTTTTGTATGTTTTATGCTTAGAGGGTAAGGAGTAAAGCATAGCAATCTCTTCAGAAAGAAGAAACAATAGATAACATGTTTTAAATAATGTGATACTTCTCAAATTCTATGCAATGTTCTTTAAAAATAAATAATAGAAATTAATACCTTTTTTTTTTCCTGGGGCTTGAACTCAGGGCCTAGGCACTGGCCCTGAGCTGTTTTTGCTAAGGACTAGCACTCTGCCACTTTGAGTTACAGCACCACTTCCAGTTTTCTGAGACAAGAAGATTTAGGTTCAAGGCTAGCTTAGGCAAGAAAGTCAGCAACACTCTTTCTTAAATACAGGCTGAGTATGGTGGTACCTGCCTGTAATTCCAGCTTCTTTTGGAGACAAAGGTAGGAGAATCAAAATTTGAGGCCTGTGCAGGCAAAAACGTGATACTTTATTTGAGAACTGCTAACAAAGAAGCCTAGAAGCATGGCTCAAGTGGCAGAGCCCTGGTACCACAAGAAAAAGGAGAGTACATTTTATTAATTTTTGTACTATCTGGTTATGCAAAGTAGAAGATCAGAACAATAGCTGATCAGTTCATCGAATAGTTCAGTGGTTTTTATTTCTTGTGAGAAAACTTGTTTAGATTGGAGATTTTTGTAATCTTTTAAAATCAAATGACATAATTATACATGAGTTTTAGATGAGTTGTTACACTGAAGTTTTGCCTTTTTAGTATATTCTTTTGGCTGCAAATGTATATTTTCACTTCATTTCAAGCTAAACTGCTAGATCTAGCAAGTATACTGTGCTTCAGATGCTGTTTATGTTGAAGTACAAGTCATACCTGGAGTTGTCTCTGTCTCTAGGTCTCTGGCGCTGCACCACCTAGACCAGGAAGTAGTTTTGCTCATTTTGGTTTTGATGAACAACTTATGCACCAAATCCGGAAGTCTGAGTACACACAGCCCACTCCAATACAGTGCCAGGTAAGTAAAACATAATGAAAGTAAAGGAAAGTACAGCAATATTCTGTATCTAGTTGACAAGTCAAAGCAGTAGAACAGAATTTAATGTAAAACTTCGGCTTAGTGTTCAACTTTTCCTTTAGTTAAGGTGGGATGAGGGAATACATATATGAAGTCCAAGAGTATTTTTTTTAATTTAAAAATGAAAGAGCATGCCGAGCACCAGTGGTTCATGCCTGTATTCCTAGCTACTCAGGTGGCTGAGATCTGAGGATTGCAGTTCAGAACGAGCCCTGGCAGGAAAGTCCATGAAACTCCAATTAACCACTAAAAACCGGAAGTGGCATTGTGGCTCCAGTGGTAGAGTGCTCATCTTGAGCTGAAGAGCTCAGGGACAGCACTCAGGCCCAGAGTTCAAGCCCAATAACCAACAAAATAAATAAATTAATTAAAGGGCATAGATATAAATTATTTATTACTACAAGTTGCTAAATAGCTGAAAAATGTTCTTTCATATCTGCTAAGTACCTTGAAAATATGATATGAAAGTATTTTATGGCCTAAACCTAACAAAAAGATTCAGAATGCGCTATATCTATGCAAGATCTTTCTTGCTGAGTGTATGGCTCAAGAAGTAGAGTACTTGCCTAGCTTGTGCAAGTCCCTTGGTTCAGTCCCTAATACCACCCAAAACAAAATGACCCCCAAGATTTGTACATGGTCAAATTTACCACTACCAGTGACTAGAATTTCTTTGTCTTTGACCTAAAAATTTTTGTTTATTACTGAACAAAGTGGTTTCTGATCTCCTAAATTGGATTTATTTATTCCTATACAGAAAACGTGAATTTTCTTTGTATTGTCTATGCCTTCTCAAGGGGAGGACTTTTAAAAATTTTTAGCAGCTCCTTTATAAATTGTTACAAATTTAGCCGGGCGCTGGTGGCTCACGCCTGTGATCCTAGCTACTCAGGAGGCTGAGATCTGAGGATCTCGGTTCAAAGCCAGCCCGGGCAAGAGAGACCGTGAGACTCCTATCTCCAATAAAAACCACCAGAAAACCGGAAGTGGCGCTATAGCTCAAGTGGTAGAGCGCTCACCATGAGCTGAAGAGCTGAGAAGCGCCCAGGCCCATAGTTCAAGCCCCACGACCGACCAAAAAAAAAAAAAAATTGTTACAAATGGAAATATTCATATCCTGGCCATGGTGACTGATCCAGAATGAAGACTGAAGAGAATGGTGTTATTTCCTATAAATCAAGAAGCTATGAGAATGTCAGGTTTTCCTCCCTATTCATGGCTAGTATGTTTTTGTTCCATTGGAAGTGAATGTCATTATTAGTCATTTATACTTTCCTAGGGGGTCCTTCAGTTCATCATTAGAATTAAAATTTAAACTGTATATACTTTTTATTTTCCATTAGGGTGTGCCTGTGGCATTAAGTGGTAGAGACATGATTGGTATCGCCAAAACAGGCAGTGGAAAAACTGCAGCCTTTATCTGGCCCATGTTGATTCACATAATGGATCAGAAGGAATTGGAACCAGGTGATGGGCCAATTGCAGTTATTGTTTGCCCTACTAGGGAGCTTTGCCAGCAGGTATGTACTTTGTATGTTGTATGCCCTTTTCCATATGTGGGATAGGAAGGGACTAACTGCTAGTCAAGTGGGTAGAATGACAGGGAACTTTTGGGGGAATGGGCAGAGATATTGTGGGAACTGTTTATTATATTGTATACTCATAGGAATTTTTCTCGAGCGAATTCATTTTTCTTTTTAGAAAGATAATGATAAGTTGATGACAAGAAATAATAATTCCATGCAAAATTTTAGCCTCATAGAATGAATAAACATGGTTTAGCCATATTTCATCTTCTGTAGTATCATACCCCATGTTCATACCTTTGGGGTATGATAAGATATTTGTTAGGTTTATACTTTGTTAATATGTTATTAACAACTTTATAGATCCATGCAGAATGCAAGAGGTTTGGGAAGGCATATAATCTTCGCTCAGTGGCAGTATATGGAGGAGGGAGCATGTGGGAACAGGCCAAGGCCCTTCAGGAAGGGGCAGAGATTGTTGTATGTACCCCGGTAAGTATGTCTTGTGTTTAAATGACTCCTTACTCTCTCAGTATGGAAAATAGTTTTGGAGAGAATCCCTTCTCCCCAAACGTAGTACATAAAACGGCCTAATGAATCACAGCTTCTGGTTTTGGTTTAAGAAAGATTGGTTGGCCAAAATAGCAATCCAGTAAGAGTATCTATGGTCATAGACATAGACATAACCAGCTACACTTGACCTTTATTTCAAATAGTTTGGGTTTTATTATTATTATTATTCTCCTAAAAAATGGATCTGAAGTTTCTAAAGCATAAAGAATAGAAAGATATTCACAGTGTGGTTAGAACTGCCCAGAAGATTGTGTATATAAAACCCATGAGTAAGGTTTCAAACCAGGTATTTCAGAATGTATTTTAAGAGTGATTCTGGCCATCGAATGTAAACCACAAGTAATATAAAGGAAGAATATAACAGAGTTTTCAAAAATCTCTGTTTCTAGCCGGGCGCTGGTGGCTCACGCCTGTAATACTAGCTACTCAGGAGGCTGAGATCTGAGGATCGCGGTTCAAAGCCAGCCCGGGCAGGAGAGACCGTGAGACTCCTATCTCCAATAAACCACCAGAAAACCGGAAGTGGCGCTGTAGCTCAAGTGGTAGAGTGCTAGCCTTGAGCTGAAGAGCTGAGGGACAGCACCCAGGCCCAGAGTTCAGGCCCCACAACCGGACCCCCGCCCCCCCCCCCAAATGTAATAAGTATTTTGGGGAATTATCTCAGGAAAAATATGCTAGTCTAAATGGAGTCAATTCAAAATTGGTTTTGTACAGGGAAGAGTATTTTCTCTGTTTATTCATTTTTATTTACATTAAAAAAATTGTATTCTTGGGTAGGTTAATGTCAAATCATTAAGATCTTTCCCTTCTGATTTCTTTGACTGTTATTACTACCATCAGCCCAGCTCAGCTATGTGGAGGAAATAGAGAATGATATATGTAGTAGTTTAAATTTTCCTTAACTCTTAGGAATTCTTGTGAGAATTTTACTAAAATGACTTTTCCAAAGCTGTTAAACTTTATTATAGGGTTTGTGATGTTAATTTTACTATTCTGCTTCTTCCAGAATACCAGGTTCGGTCCATAGCAAGTCATGTTCGTCCTGACAGACAGAGTATGTATGAATGAATCAGCTCTTACACAACTACATTTATACTCAAAAATGAATGCTTGCCATTCTGATTGCCCCTATAAACACTCACAGTTATGAAAAGCAACAGTGATTAATAAGTGAGGTTAACAACCACTTCTTTGGGGTAGACAGGACCCTAGAGATAACTAGATATGACTACTCATCTGTTTAGGTGATAAAACTAAGATTACAAATTAAATAACTTGCCCCATTGTATACAGTTTACAGTTGTGTAGTTTACTGCATGTGTATTTACTGCATTGCACATCTGTATAGAAATCAAGACCTTTTCCTGAACCAGAGCAACAGTTCACTTTTGACTAAAAAGTATAATATACTTTGAGTAAGATAAGATCTTTTCCCTTAGCAAATCAGTTTTTAAACTAATTTTTAAAGTTAAAGTAGGTTTATGTAGAAAAAGCACATTAATTCTGAATATCAAAGAAGCTTAGTGGGTTCACTTAGTTGAAAAATCATACTGTTTCTTTAATAGAATTTACTTTGCTTTTAGCTCTCTTATTCAGTGCAACTTTTCGGAAGAAGATCGAAAAATTGGCCAGAGACATCTTGATTGACCCTATTCGAGTAGTGCAAGGAGATATTGGAGAGGTAATCCCAAGCAAGGCTGGGTGGGACCTCAGTGGGTTATTCTCATATGGGGGCCTGGAATTAATTCCTTGTTATTGAGATAAAAATTAAAATATTACAAATGAAAGGGTAACATGTTTCAGATTTGCTTTAAAATGTATAAGTTACAGGGAGATAAGTAAAACAAAATTGCCAAAATATTGATAATTGTTAAGGCTGAGTGATGGGTGAGTGTTATGTTCATTTCATATTTTTTGAATAGTTAAAAATATTTTACACTGGGCACCTGTAGCTTATACCTGTAATCCTAGCTGCTGGAGAGGTTGAGATCTGAGGATCACATTTCAAAGCCAGCCTGAGCAGAAAATTCCATGAGACTCTTCAGTTAACCACCAGATAACCAGAAGTGGTGCTGTGGCTCAAAATGGTACCACTGTGGCTCAAAGTGGTAGAGTTCTAGAGCTCTAACCTTGAGGAAAAGAGCTCAGGGAGTTTAAGTCTCATGACTGACCAAAAAATAAATCAACAAATAAAAAATCATAATTAAAAAATTATTTCAAAAACTTCTTTGTGTGGCACTGTGGCTCAAGTGGTAGAGCACTTGCCTTGAGCTGAAGAGTGCAGGGATAGTAGCCAAGCCCAGAGTTAAGCCCCACCACCGACAAAACAACAACAAAAACCTTTGCCCGTCCTGGGGTTTGAACTCAGGGCCTAGGTGCTATCCTCAGCCTCTTTGTGCTCAAGGGTAGTGTTCTACCACCTGAGCCACAGCACCATTTCTGGCTTTTTCTGAGTAGTTTATTGGAGATAAGGGTCTCATGGACTTTTCTGCCTGAGCTAGCTTCTAGTGATCCTCAGGTCTCAGCCTCTTGAGTAGCTAGGATCAGAGGTATGAACCACCTACTTTTCAAAAACTTTTAAAGAAATAAAAAAACTCTTTCTGGAAGATTACCAGTGATCTGAGATGGAACTGACTCTTTTTGTGTGGGCCTCGATGTGGGCCCAGATGTTGTCCCTGAGCTTTTGTTTTTCTCTCAAGGCTAGTGCTCTATCACTTGAACCACACCTTTACTTCTAGCTTTTTGGTGGTTGATTTGTGATAAGAGATTCAGACTTTCTGGCTCAGGCTGAATTTGAACTACTTCTGCCTCCTGAGTAGCTAGGATTACAGGTGTGAGCTACCAGCACCCAGCTTAGTTTGTTATATTTTTACTTAAAAATTTTTAAAATTTATGACATATAATAGCATGACATTTCAATACATGTTTATAACATTTGATAGGGTAACAGCATGTCTGTAACCTGAAATATTAATAATTTCTTTGTTGTTATTAAAATACTCAAAATTAGAAACTTTTTTTTTTGTCGGTTGTGGGGCTTGAACTCTGGGCCTGGGCGCTGTCCTTCAGCTCTTCAGCTCAAGGCGAATGCTCTACCACTTGAGCTACAGCGCCACTTCCGGTTTTCTGGTGGTTTATTGGAGATAGGAGTCTCACGGTCTCTCCTGCCCGGGCTGGCTTTGAACCG